TAATATTTTGAAGAGATTTATTTAATGATGGTTTAAAGTTTTAGTTATGTATTAGGATTGATCATAACATATTAACAATTGTGAGGATGACAATGTGAAGAAAAAAATATGAAGGTCAATAAATTAATCATTACATTTATATTCTATAACTCTAATAAAAGAAAATGATATATGCATGAACTGACATTATAATATTTCAACATTAGTTTGATTTTTTTAAATAATCGTCACCGTGCAACGCACGGTGCACAAAACTAGTTAACTGTAAAATAATTAACCTTAAGGTCTAAAGAGTTTGGCCCCAAATAACTCTAAATTAACCTTAAACAAATATATAATTCTAAATTTAAATTAGGAATTTATACATAAATTAACCTACAGAGTTAGCTAATTAACTTGTTAATATGTTAACACTTAACATTGATATAAACAAATTAACATAATAACGTTAAGATAAACAATTTAACCCTAAAGTTGGCTTGAAATATAATCAAGTTAATCCTAACTAAAAATATTTATGGTTTACCCAGCAAAATATATAGTTTTACTATTAAATGACTTAACACAATGTAATTATGCAACATATATTTAATGCTTTCAAAGGAACCCACTAACCTAAGGGTAAGTTCGCCTTTCAGAATGAGGATCTTTAGTAAGAAATTTTGATACCTAAAACTCTCGGGGTGCACAAAACCCCGACCAACATAACCCGATATAATTCAGCCCGAAGCTACTTGATGTGCAATTGATATGTGTTGAGAATTTAATACATAAAGCGTTTTTTTTACGTCTTTTTAGTTATAATAATTTCTTTTCATTCCCACTTTGGGTCTTTTTCATTTATTTCTTTACACTTTTGTTATTATGAAGTTAAATATTGTGGTTGACTTATTGGTATATGTGAATGAAGCTAATTGAGAGTTTTTTGTGAAAACAACAAATGCTACAGCATTGATGCAGCGTCGACCTGATTCATACGCAGCTTTTTGGAGGGCTTAATGGATAAGACGCTGACTTTTTGAAGATGGAGGACAGCTATAAAAGCTGGATTTTTAGTGGAAAAATCTGTTGTTAGACTTTGGTTAAAACTATGTACTTTTTAGTTACACTTTTGTTGGTTTGTAACTTACTTTTAGAAACCTTAGCCTACAAGTTTATTTATTTTGTCTTCTAGTGCCCCTTTTTGAGTATAAATAGAGGGCTTGGGGTGCCTTCTAGTCCATTCCTCCATCCTATTAATCTTTCATTCCACCTTTTCTCCCATTGTATTTCCTTTGTTTGCATTTGTAAACCCTCTCCAATGGTGTTTTTAATTAAGTCTTCAAGTTCTTTATCTTTTTCTTTATTTACATTCTTGTCTTTTATTTTCCATCATTTATTTTCTCGTCTTTTATTTTTCCGCTATTTACATTCTCGTCATTTACATTCCCGTCATTTATTTTATCATCATTTACATTCCCGTCATTTATTTTATCGTCATTTACATTTCCGTTATTTATTTTCTCGTTATTTACTTTACGCAATTTACGTTTATGTCTTTATTTTCCGCCATTTATTTTTTACTTTCCGTTATGAGTAGCTAAGCTTTAATAGCTTGGGTGTGAGACGGAAAGGTGAGATTTTCAAACCGAACGAAAGTAGCTAAGTGTTTTCGAAAACGACGTTTCATTGTTTCATTCGAGTTTTTWTAAAACCAAGCRCACTTCTTGACGGGTTGATCACTTGAAAGTGTTAAAGTGCGATGGACTTAGAGATAAGCCATCAATAAGCACGTCAATTTGGATGACATAAGAGGTAGATTTGAGAAAGTTGCCGACAAAGAGACTTGTCATTTATGTTTTTCAAAACGTAACTTCCGACGGGTTGGTCACTTGTCAAAGTGTGATAGATTTAGAGATGAACTATCAAGAACACGCCAACTCGAATGATATGGGAATCGACTCGAGAGAGTGATTTTTAACAAAGAGATTTGTTTATCCATATATTTTGAAAACACCATTGTGTCACTATCCCCAGTCCGGACACCACATAGAGATATGAGTGGAAAGCTATAAGATAGTGAAATGGTGAAGTCCGAGAGGAATGCCTTCAAAATAGATGGTGAAACTTAGTTTCGAAACACTGCTTGCTGTAGCATTCCTATAGTATTGGCTGCTGGAATTTATGTTTGGGTCTCACCTTAAGTCTTACACCCTTGCTTCTTTTATATATTCTGTATTCTGTTCGGATTCACCTTAAAATCAAACAAAAGTCTTCAAAATCGTCATCTGAAATCATCTCTTTCATTGGACTCTAATCTAACTTTGGCTACAATGTCTGTGGACGATAATCCGGTACTTGTACCATTTTATTACTTGGAAAGACGACGTTAGGCCGTATTGTATACTTGTTTTGTGGCCTAATTTCATTAGTCTAAAGGTGTGAAATATAACCAACCAGCAATCGAGTTGTAAAATTTTCAAATAGTAGGTATTGAATTCTAATTCTGTTAGGGTTATTTGAACCCAATCTAACCTAATGAACTTGTTACCCCTTATATATATTATACGCATCTTCTATTAGACATGTTACTTGTTAGCGTTGCTTCGATCAACAACTAGTTAGTATTTTCGTAATTGTACTATAATTCAATTTGTAAATGTACTTTCTTTTTGCAAAAATCTCCAACTTTCTTCTTTGTTCCTCACGTACCATAAAAGATCACTTACCTGTGAGTAGTGAGTAATGAGTAATGGTTGCTTAAATATGTTGTTGGAGTGCTATTATTAGATTGCTTAAGTACGTGTCAGACCACATGGGTTGGGTTGGGTTGGGTTGGGATGGGTTGGGTTGGGTTGGGTTGGGTTTGTTTGAATGCGTTATACTTCAAATATTTTTAATGAGATGAGATTTTTCAAACCGCACTAGTTGAGTTAGATTGTTTAAACACCTCCAAATCAGCTAACCCGACCCAAAATAAAACAGTTGATTTTGTTTTAAAATTCACAAAATTTTAAACTTTTCAAATCCTTACAAACATAATTAGTAGGTTGTTTGCATGAAAACTTGTTATCATATACAACTTCCACACAAATTCTAGAAACACAGCATATAACTTCTGCAGAATGCATTCATTTGCTGCTGCTGCTACTCTTGTTCCTAGTTAAAGACAGTGACCTCCTCCTCATACTCCCCCCACCATCATCAACAATCTTCACTGCCTCCTCATGATCACTGCCATCATCATCATCATCATCATCATCACTGGATGGGTTTTCTGTCTCAATTGGAGCCTTCCCTTTTAATAGTTCTTTCTCCATTTCTTCATCCACTGAAGAAGAATAAGAAGAACAAGTGCTGTTACTATTACTGAAGCCATGGAAGATTGTCACACTTTCTTTCTTCCCACTTCTAGAAGAGAAGCTTTTGGTTTTCTTATCAGAGCTGCTGACTGGGAGGAGGGATTTTGATCGTGGGGTTGTCGTATCCTTCCCCAAACTGTACGTGGTCGAGAGTTTACGCTCTACGCTTTCCCTTTCTCTCACCAAATCTCCAAGTTCTTCCACCACTTGGTTACCTGCTGATCCCTCTGCTGCTGATGCTTTTTCCTCAAGCTCCCGGATGGTCTTATCAAATACCTTCTTTTGAAGCTGAAGTGAACACTGCAAAACAACATCACCTGCTTTAGTTTCTTAACCAAAATCTACAAACAGACTGTTTTGGCCTCAAAACTCAAAGCTAGCTTACTCTCTTTTCAAGAAACTTTCCAAGATCTTGGTTTTGAACCTTCTTTTTCTTCCAAAATATGCAACAAAATCGTACCAGTGCTGCCAGTATTATCACTAGAATTGTTTCGAGCACAAGAAATAATGTACTTGCTTTGTCGTTATCTGGGAAAAAGAAGATACATATGGGTGTTAACTGATTTAATGGACTGTTGAGCGTCATATATTAAGTGGTATCTTAATATCTTTACCTTTATCGATGCTAACGGGCTTCATGTCCATCATGGAACAGCTTGATGCAAGCTTCTGACCTGTTGAAATATAAAGTTCATCAAGTCAACATTCAGTCTGATTGAGGCAAGAAAATGACATGAAAGCTATGAGGTTGTTACGAGTGCTAAAGCACGACAGTGGATTGCCAGTATCTGCATGGATAGAACAATGAAGTTGTAAGTCCATTTATACTAATTCAGCATGATGAACTCTTTAAAGTAGTGCAAAAACTTACTTGAAATAGAAAGAAAAGCAAGAAGCATCCTTTCATCCATAACAAAATGCCTTAGATCACTCCCGGAGAATAAGCTTGACAATGAACCTATTTCGATTTTTTTTTAAAGTACAAAGTCAAATTACGCGATTTTCAATTGGTACGTTAATACAAACAAGTCAAACTAGGAGGAAACCAGATCACCAGGATAGCTTTCATTCCAATAAACAGATCCTGTTGCAGGAACCAGCAACTTGAAGATGGCATTTACTGGTTTCATGGCTGAAACGTAAGTGTATTCACCAATAGTGCGGCTAATCAATCCCTCCATCTTTGTCTGAGATATATAAACAGCATAGCCAGAGCAATCAAGAACAGGATTAACATGACTCGCTACATCCATGATATCTGTTCCAGGGAATTTCTTGAGAACCCCAGATGGTGAAATTGAGTAAAGGAACCCATCCAATGAACCAATGGATATCCAACCTGTAAGTCAACCCAAATAAAAAACATTAAAGACCATATGAACTGGAAAAAGAAGGACAAAATACTCAAATTACCATTGACATTAACAACTGGTGCAGAGTCTTGTGTACTTAATGGCCCTATACTTTGCTGCCACAAAACAGATCCATTCGAAACATCTAAAGCAAGAATAATGGCTATATCTGGTACAGTGAGATACAGTTGGCCGTTGTTTCCAGCAGTAATAGTGAAATTCCCCAATGAACTATAATCTTGAATCCACTTAAAATGAGGACTACGAATCGACAATGAATACAATTCTCCTTGATTATTTGAAACCTGCAAGAGTAAATATGAATCGTACTAAAAGAATTTAAAGGGTACATTAGTCATAAGAAAGCCTACGAAAGAAAGAAAATCTGGCAACAGAACTTACATAAACATTAGCATCACAATTATCAATCACAGGGACCGAATCAAAATAGCAGCCTGTAAGATTTTTCCTACAACCTTGACGGTATCCCATTCGACTAATTACAGGTCCAGTACTCCAGCGCAGTTTTCCATCAAACCTGTAAGAAAAGAGTCCCCTTCTATTTATATTAATGAGGACACAAGAACTATATGTGCTTACTGAAAGCCCAATAATCTCATCCATCCCTTCTACACCTGTTTCTGGACCCAAGAATACTTCCCCAGATGATTCAGGAGTTTGGGTGTTCCTAATATTGATTTTCAGTACTCGGTTTTCTGCAACTAGATATACCTGCCATTAATCATTGAGAATAGAAATAATGGTAGTACTCTCTTTAAGATTAAAAGAAAACAATCCTCGTAATTGCCATGAGTTCTTGAACAAGATTTACATCAGTTCTGAATCAGAATTTGTAGGCTTTGCTTACCTTTCTCGAAGCTCCAAGAACCGGCGTTATACCAACATTGCATGTGTAATTTAGAGGCATTCTCCTAGAAATGGAGCCATTGCTCTGGAAAACCAGCAAGTTCTTTTCCAAACATACATAAATCTTCCCATCATCACCGATCAAAGGATTCAAGAGCCTAGTTGTGGGTTTTGGACGTGGTTCTTGATCTAGATATTAAAGAGACATGGTAAAATAAAACTTGTAATGTAATGTAAATCTAGTTAAGCCGATAGTTAATCATCAACATTCTTCCTCCACTTTTTTAATCTAAACATTCTGATTCATGGATAGCTGGTATGATCCTCTTTGATTTATAGAGAAAACCATAACTTTACCACATCAAAGAAAAGCACTGACATTCAGAAATCAGTAAAAGATTGCATGCCGATAATCAACTCAATAAATCTCCAAATTTCAATCAAAAAAATGTATGTCCGATCACAAAATACGGAGTTCTTTCTTAACCCAAATCCAAAAAATTGACGATTGACAGAACACACTAAAATTTAAAGTAAAATTTGATTTTTTTTTACCTGATATCAAGTGTGGATTTGCACCAGATTCCCACTCCCAGCGAGCAGAAACTGATGTAAACATGTACAGTATAAGAATGCAAGTCAAAATTTCAAGGATTGGGGACATGATTGAGTAAAAACAGAACAGTTTTTGGGGTTTTCATAAAGAAAACGAAGATAGAAGGGAATTGCAGGAGAGAGAGGACGATAAACAGATGAAGCGGGGGTGCAGAGATTTTTGGGGGGAAGTTGGGTGTTTGAATATGATCGCGGGATTTGGCAGGTTAATAGTTGGTTACTACTTTTTTTATACAATTTTTTTTTATTATTTACCGAACAGACATGTTGAAATTTGGTATCGTTAACAACTTATACCAAAAAAGATGGAACGATGAAACTTTAAGTGAAAGATACGTGACATATGCAAGTGCGTCATATATAAAGGCACACAATCGTGTTTGATATTCACTTAAAATTTTGTTTTCTGAAATTGACATTTACAATCGTGTTCGTACTTACTAGACTTTTTATTTTCTAAAAAATGGGCCTTCACGGTCGGATTGCTTATAATGGCGTGATCCTGTTGTGCTTATTTCCAATGCGGTTGGATTGGCAGGAAATCCATAGCTAACTGGTATTTTGGGTGCCAAAATGGTATTTAGCATCGGATTGCAAGATGAAGAAATTCCATAAACGTATACGCTCAAAATAAAGATGTTCGTGAAGAATTTTATATGTACCCTGTAACATTCAATCTTGAAGGGATTTAAAAAAAATAATCCGAAAACCATCTGTGTATATAGTGAGGGCTAATAATTTTTTAAGAATAATGATCCTAACGTCCTCACTATCTTTGGTTGTATGCATACATCTTTCAATTTATAAACCCCTTTTCTAACATTGATTTCCGGGGG